CTAATATCCAATCTAAACCTTCCCTCTTCCAGTTTGAAGCCATTCCCCCTTGTCCTGTCATGTTCCAGTGTAACAGCGGTCACAGGGGTCTTTGGATGAGGGAAGAGACGAGGATTTGACTCCATATTTCAGAGGGCTTGATTTATTATTTTATGATATATATATTACATTATAACTATAGTAAAAAGAAGAGAAGGAAAAGTTTCATCTCAGAAGGCTAGCTAAGCTAAGAATATAAAAGAATGAAATTATAACAAAAGGAGCTGTCTCGGACTCTGTCCAAGATAGCTCAGCCTTGATCGGCCATTAATTATAAACATCCAAGATGGGCCAATCACAGATCCACCTGTTGCATTCCACAGCAGCAAATAATCATTGTTTACATTTTGATCCTTGAGCATCTCAGCTTCTCAGGAAGAAAAGTCCTTAGAAAGGATTTTCATAAAAAGATGTCTGCGACAATCCAGCTCTCTCATAGCTCCCTTTAGTAACTGGAAGCTTCTCTAAAGTCTCCCTGGAGCCTTCTCTTCTCCAGGCTGAACAATCACAATTCAGCCTTTCTTCTTGACCAGGTGCTCCAGCCTTCTGCTCATCTTCATGGCTTCCTCTGGACTTGTTCCAGAGGCTCATGCCCATCTTAAATTTCATTTAAATAAGGTCTCAAGGTCTTGCACTGGGCAGAATAATTCCTTTAACATGTAACATGCATCTTCATACCATTTTGAAAGCTTTTTCATTGTGACAGTAGCATCTCTAGAGACTATTTTTGGGCTTGCCAGAGATGCTAATGGTAGTGTTTGTTTTAGATAGCTGGCTTTCTTCCAATTAATTATGGCTCTTTATGAGTCATTTTGTTTGGAAATCTCTGATTACATGAACATGACAGAAGGTATTCAGAAAGAACATAGCAGTTAGAAATTGCCAAATGCTATTAGAAGGGATTGTCAACATCCTTGCTACAGACAGATACAATCTTTTAAACGCACCTCAGCACGGCAACAGGCTGGTAATAGTCCACTTAGTGTGTGATTTTAACTTTGGTGAGAAAGCATCAGGATTTTAAATCACTGTAATATAAAATGCCAAAATTGTTACCAGAATTTGATTCAGGCATCCCTGAATGGGTTGTGACAGATGATACAAACAGGGGTTGCTGTGGGAACAGTTCGTTTGGATTTTGGGACTGTATTCCTGCTCATCTACAGGTGGTTTTGTGAATCCTTTCAAATTCCTTGAGCAGCATATTCCATTCTAGTGGTTAGCTGAACAAGAAAAATGAAAAATTCTTGATGTTTGAATGTTACTGATATGTAAAAACAGAGAGGAAATAGCTCTTCCTTATCAGGAGTGTGGTATACATAAATTGCAAAGGAATTCAATTTGTGATAAAGCTCAACTTCAGGCTCCTGAAAATCTTTATTTATTTTCCTTTTACATCACTTCATATGGCCAACAATGACTACTTTCCTACCCATTTTGAAATTCAGGGTCCAAACATAGTAAAATCTCAAAAATTATTATAATTACTAAATTTGGCTTCTTTTTTTTCTTAGAAAAATTAGACAAAAATTATAACAAAGGATTTTGACTATGTCTTTTGGCAGGTAGGCACTGTGAACACTTTCTGCACATCAGTCTCCTCTTTGGGGCACTGCTTAAAAAAGCAGCAAGTGTAGGTCCAAGCCTTACACATGCAGAGGTACAGAAATGACAGCAGATGTTGACACAATTATTTTTAAAGCCAATTGTCCCCACTGCACATCTGTTTCCAAAGTTTGCTCTCTGGATATCACACCAAGCACTTCACCTTTGTTCACTGCACCCTCACTGAAACGTGTATATAACCAGATCTCACCCTGTGAGAACACATGGAAATTAAACGACTGAAGTCATTGCTTTCTTCCCTCTGATGCGGCCATGGCTGTCAGGAAGTAAATTTAAGACTTAATGGTTTAAATTTGGTTCCTCTGCTCCACTCGCTGAGTCCTTCCCATCCCTCAACTTTAATTCCAGGCTGCCAAGTCTAGACACTGAGGAAAAGCCTGCAAAGGAACACTGAAATAAAATATCCAGTGGGATATTCACTTTTGAGTGAGCCCCAGAGGGTTGTCCAGAGGAGGGAGAGGATCCCAGTTTGCTTGGAGTCACTCAGTTTAAAGCTCTCCAGCTCAGTTCGCACAGGTTATGCTCAGTCATCAGGGAAATGCAAAGTGGGAATTTACCTGAAATTACAACACCCTTTTAAACTTACATGCACCACAACAATAATATTCTCTACAGATCTTCTAACCCAATATTTTAAGTCCTTTGTGAATGACTTGAATTCCCTGAACAAAGCACTAGGATTAGCACTCCTAGGTTATAAAACAACACACAGCCAGCAACTCTCTCCCATTAAAAGCCTAATTGAAGTACAACAGGAGCTGATCACAGCTCACTTTTAGTGGTTTTATTTTCAGCCACTAGTGCCCTGCCAAGTCCCTCACCTCATGCTGCTCTTCTGGTTTGGGCAAGCTCCTCTTGGCATTCCTTGAGGCTTGTACTTGAATGTGACAATGTTTTATTTCCCGTTCCATCAGGGAAGCTTAAGAGCCAGAGTCAAACAATATTTAAAGTGGGGGACTACCTCTGAGATTGAGAGACTCGAGTTCCTTTCAGCACGACTGGTTACCTATGGCTAGTTTATACACAGAAGTGAAAATAAATATCTGTCTCTCTTCAGCTCATGTTTTCCTGTGATTAGGAGATGCAGTTCTGGTTAGATTTCACTTTTAGTGGTCTGGTTCTTGTGATCTGAGAAACCTTTTGGCTCAGACAGCTCCTCCTGCCTGTCTCCACACTGAGCACATCTTGGGGCTGTGTCTGAGCTCCCTGATGGCTCCCCTTGCCTTCTCATGTTAATGACTCCAGCCTGGAGCAAGAGTCAGAGCACAGGGAGCTGCAGGATTCTCCTCTTTTGCATTTACATGCCGAGGGAATCAGGAATAACAAAATACAACAGTTGCTTCTTCCTGAATAATAATTTGTCCTTTGGTAGCAGGCCAGGAATTCCTACATGTGAAACAGAACAATATCCCTGCTGTCACTAATTTACTGCCACAATTCCTATTAAATTAAGCCCTGTACTTCATGTGGGTGCCAATCTCTGAGTTTTCCATGCTATCTGTTCTGTATTATCTACATCACAGACATGCACCATACCAATGCTCAGATATGGCATTCAATTCACTGTCTCCAGGCAATTAGAGCAACTACAAGACAGAGGACAAATTTAACTGGCTCATTTTAATGAGACTAGCATTTGAAGATTCATCAATCCAATTTACCTCCCAGGAACTTTCATAGAGTGAGAATTCCCAGAAGAATCTGTCTGGATGAATTAATTTCAGGAAAAGCATCTTCAGGCTATTGATCCATCAGCCTGTCATGTATTTCTCTGTCAAGTTAGATTTTGGTGCAGCTTTCTGGACACTAAAGATTGTGAAGGTTTTCGTAAAATGTCATCTTTTCCAATCTTCTATTTCACCTTCTTGCTTTTGAAACCCCTATTTGAAATCCAGGAGGCATTCTCCACTGAATGAAAACTTCACTTGATTCACAATGGCCCATGAGTGAAATGTGGGGCCCACTGGAATGTGGGGCTGATTGAAAAATGTTGGGAATAAAAAAAGTCTCTGAAAATTGCAATATTATTGAAACATATTGAAGTCAGTATGTCATCATCATATTTTTTGGGGAAATTCATTTGCCCAGGATTTTGCTCCTGGGAAGCTGAGAAACCTCAGAGAAAAATGAAAACAATAATTATCTGATTTACTTCTTCTGTGTTTTGCTGCTTTGGAATGTGGTTGGAGATTGTTTATCCAACATGTGAATTGTTTTCACTTAATGACCAATGACAGTCAGGCTGTGTCAGGACTCTGGAAGGAGTCACAAGTTTTTCATTATTATCTTTTTAGCCATCTGTCTGCATCCTTTCTATATTCTTTGGTATAAATTAATATAGCATTCTTTAATATAATATACATCACAAAATAATAAATCAGCCTTCTAAGAACATGGAGTCAGATTCATAATGTCTTTCCTCCTCCAACAGGGGACCCTAAAAATACCACATCAGTATGCCAGGAGCATTCCCTTTGGCTGTGGCAACCAGGTCAGAGCCTGCTGGGAACCAAGACCACTAACATTAAGGATTTGCCCCATCAAACAAACCATGAGAGTGATTCTTCTCTGACCTTCCATGAAAAATACTCCTCTTAATGTCAGTTAGATAATGCAGCAGTTCTCTGCAGTCTCTCAGGCACTTTTACACTGGACAAAATAAAACCTTTTGGCAGGTTGACTAAATCCCAGGAAAATCCCTGCCTGCAAGTAGGTGGCAGGCTCTCTATCATCTGCCTCCCCAAACAAATTCAGAACCTTCCTCAAAAAGCCATGGATGGGTTGTATCCAGCCAGGAGGTAATGATTCACACACAGCTGGGACCAGCTTGTGAGCTGTGAAACAAAAGCCTCAAGGAAACCTTTTTTTTCCTCGTGACTTACACTCAGAAACAGGATTTTGTTGATGAGTAACAAGCAAAACCTAGTGAGAAACTGTGTAATTTGGTATTTCAGAGAACAGCATCAGGTATAGGGAAGAAGAGGCAACAAGAGGCATCTTAGTTCTGGAAACTATGTTTCTGAGAAATTCTCATTACCATTCAGTTTATTTTCATGCTGTGTTTTAAATCTTCTACAATTTTGATTTCTCTGCATGTATGTTTTTCTGATGAGCATAGAAGGTGAGCTGCTGACAGAGATGCAAATCCTCTGTTTATGCATTTCTGGCTGACTTTTCCCCCTCCCTATCCATCCTTACAAAGATAAAAATCCCAGCGCACTTTTCCTAGTAAGGCATGCCTTTTTGGTCCAGAAATAGCATGGAGAGTGATCACTTCCTCCCACTGCCTGCTCACAATGCTTCACAGCAGTGTGGGTGACAAACAGGTACTGGTGTCTCTGTTCCATCAGGAGAGTCTTCATTACGTGGCAAAAAATGTCAGAAACACTGGAACTCATCTCATTAAATGCAGGCATCCCAGGCATAGAGCCAGTCATTGAGGCTGCTTAGTTCATGGAGAGAAAGAATCACTTTTGAAGCAGACTAATAAAGATAAAAGAGGCCAGGTGACAGACATAAAGATGCCTGTTTTCCTGGTTAGGGTTTTGCAGGAACTCCAAGGGTGTGATGGAAGCAGCTGTACTGAAGACAACAAGGTAAGAGGATACTAATTGTATTGTTTTTCATAGCAATTTGAGATTAAATTGCTCCTTATTTTCTCCTATCCCCTCAAATACCTATGACTTAGCTCAGTTTGAGCAGTGGCTTAGGAACTGATCTGTATTTAAAGTCAAGACACATTTTTTTGTGGGAACATAATAAGAAAAGGATGTGGGAAAACATGTGAAAGCCCTCACCTCTGTTCATTCCTCTGTACTGGATATTTCATTCCTCCAAAGGAGAGGGAGAAGCCACTGTAGACAGCAATTGAATTGGAGTAATGGCAAATACCAGCAGAGAGCTGCACTCTGGGTCCCAAGTCAGCATTGTGGGCAAGACTTTGGCAGTGCAGTAAGATCCAGGAGGATCACACACAGCTCTGCTCTGTCAGGCCTCTGACAGCAGCTGGGGGACAGCAGGAGGTCTGCCTGGACCTCAGTGATACCAGCAAGTCAGGGCTCCTGTTCTGATGCTCTGAAGCTGGTGCTCCTGTTCTGTCACACAATCAAAGCACATCAGAGAGAAGCTGAGCTTTGACATTTGGTTCTTAACCCTTCATGATGTATAAGAAATCAGTATCAGACCAAAGGAAAAAAAAGGGGAAAGGAAGCATAAAACAGAGGATCATGAAAGATTAGAGCAGGTCTTGATTTAGGAGGTATTCTGCATGTTCTTCCAATGTCCACATTGTCTTTCAGGAGCCATCAGTCTCAAGACATCAATTTGCATTTGAAATCTTGGTCCAGCAAATTACCAGTGCAGATTTTCTCCCTTCTGACAGTTAGACTTATTTATGTTGAAATGTTTGGAAGTTCATTTTACTGCCATTTTGTTAATTTGCTGCTGTAGTTAGTCTAGCTTTTTACATCAAGGTATTTCAGGCCTCTCTCAAAGCATACCCATTAATTCCAGTTTCATCCTAAAATTATTTCAGAATCAAAATAAGTCTGTGCAGCACTGCCAATATCTCAAAGTCTGAAAACAGCATTTCCATAGCAAAAGTCCTCAGTTGCCCCAGTAACAAAACTATGAGGTGCAAACAGTAATTACAGAATTTTGGCCATCTTTCTCAACACTCTTCAATATGACATAATTTAAAAATAAGACTGAAGAAGTGAGTAAAGAAACAGATATTTTGTGTGTACAAGCATCCATATTTTTGCACGTACAGTGCAACAGGCTCAGCATTACTCACAGGCATTACTAAGTCATGGAATCATAGAAACATGGAAGATTCTCATTTGGTAGAGACTCACAAGCATGAAATTCTGAATCTCAAGTAAGCTACAAAAGTATACTGTTGATGTCAGTGACTAAGTGCTCACCCTTCACTGGTGCCTACAAATGCATAACTGAAGGTTTCATCACATACACATATACCACATCTAGTTTTCATAAACACACCACATCTACATTGCAGGTAAACATCTAAAATGTCCTATTTTGAAAGAGGCCAAGTGTGTATGTGAAGTTTGTGTTATCCATATGTTCTTTTACAAGTCAAGATTAGTCTTAATCTTTAACCTGTATTCTGGAAAATACTAATACCTTGATCTTCAAGAATCTGGACTCCATTAAATATGAAAGTGGCAATAGATGCCTTTGAAATACAGATGAGCTGTGTCTTGATTAACCTGGTTCCTCGCATCATATCTTGACTCCCTCTGCATCCACAAAGACCCTCCCAATACCCAAAAAAGGACTTTGGAAGGGAGCTGAAGAGTCCTAGTAATTTAAATGTGTACTGTTACATGTCTCTGAATAGAATAACCCTCTCATCCTTTTCTTCCCAGCCTCATTTCAGTCCATGCCAGCCAAAGCAGCCACTGCTTGGGAGAGTGCTGGGGGCAGAGCTGATCCCTGTTCTGGGAAAGAAATCAGATTTCCTTGAATTGTGACACTTTCATCTCAGTGTGCTATACAGGATAGGTCAATGTGATTACCATAACCTACTCCACACACCTTCAGCATCATGAGTGTTTTTCAGTCACCTCCCCCAAAGCACCACTGCTGTAGCATTTAGGTACTGAATTGGTCACTACCTTCCATTTACTTAAAAACTCACAAATTCAAGGCTGTGAGATCTTGCTGGTGTTTGCCTTTTGGGAAGTGTCTTTCTGTAAAAGACAAGAGCCCACTCTCATACTGATTCATGACCACCTTCACCTTGTGTTTACATTCTTGAGGCAACCACCAGAAAACAGGATGAAAAACAGATGCTGTAGAGAAGGACAAAAAACTCTCTGTAAAATTATCTGGGTTACAATTATCAGCCTCAACATTTCATCTTTAATTTCTAACCTACCGTACCAGCTCAGGGCCTGGAGACATCAATATTTTATACCTTTAATTTAATCATTTCCTGTGCACTGCATAAAATTATATCTCTTTGTAGGCTTAATATTAGCAATGGCAGAATAATTAATTAATACTTTCAAGTAAGATTTAATTCAAACTTTTGTGCCTTTAGAATACATAAATAGTATTTTCTCATTATCATTATCAACAATCTTGATTTTTAATATATTTACTACATAATTAACAATGTCATGTCTTCATAAAGGCACCCATCTATTAAAACAACCAATTTTAGGTCAAAAATTTGGAAAAAAAGCTATGAAAGAAAACTATTATAGAAAAAGTAAGCATTACATCAGGGACAAGAAACTTTTCATCTCTGGAAATGCTCTTGAAATGCAGTAAATTCATTATATTACTGACAAGTTCATAATTGGTCATCCCTGGGAGGGGAGATTTTGGGAACTGTGAGACCCACTGAATAAAACTATGATGAAATACCTGTAGGGATATGAAACATGTGGGTTCTCTTTGTGTTATTTTTTAATCTCAAAGCAATGATGACACTCCCAGAGTGTCATACTTTTACACAGATGATCTCATCACTTTCTTCCTTCCTTCAACAGAAATACTTAGAGGAAATATGATAAATGTATTGAAGCTGATCTTCAATAAAAGACTATATTGTGCAGAATTTAATGCAAAAAGAATCTTGAAGACAGACCATCAATGCAGTACTAAACATATATATCCATTTCTTCACTGTTCCATTGTGGAAGAGTGGATGCTGGCTCATGGAGAGCTTGTGTTTGAGCTTGTAAAGCTGTTTTTTATAATGGATGGGTGTTGGGAGACCACAAACAAAGGGTCAGACAGGGAAAACAGAAAATTCACTGCCATGGAAGCAACTCTTAGGTGGAAATTACTTCCATAAGTGAGCATAGAATGAGTGGCTGCAAAAGAAAATATGTAGTTAGTATTCCATGAATCACACACTGGTTTTATGAAAATAGCAAAAAGACTGAATTAGATTTGAGTGCATGTGGTTTGCTCTTCTCCTCAAATCTGTGAATTAGCCTGCACTAGATGAGGGTGAAGTTGAGAAATGCCAGAGTATATAGCCAGTATTTTGTGCTAGAATGCAGATGGAGTTTGAGAGTACAGCAGAAGAAACCCAAATCTGATCAGTGGGACACTCAACACCTACCTTCTCACTTTACCTGGACCCAGTTATTTCTAAGAGAAAAATATCTTGGTGTGAGAAGACACAGGGAGCAAAGAAAGGCCACTGAACTGAAGAAAGAGACAGGCTGAGGGGAATATGACTTTTGTGTGTCCCCCTGAGGGTTCACAGTGTGGATGACAAACACCTCAGATGGAGGGACAAAGGGTTGAGTGACTTTTGCCATCACTTTTCTCAGAATAGTTTCCTGTGCACCAACATCCATAGAAAGCAAGTCCCAGCAATGGTTCAGAGCACCATGGATGGGTTTGGGGCAGGAGAGGGAAACCTGCTCCTGACTCAGCATCTCAGCCCGGAGAGGAGGCAATCTCTGCTGCTCTGTGTGTAGGTGGTGGCAGCCAGCGAGGCAGGGACTTGGCAAAGTGTGTTTGTGTGCATAGAGCAGGAGCACTGCCAAAGGCACACAGTTCCTCATGGCAAACGCTCTCAATGCTGGCAGAGGCCAAAGCCAGGCTGTTTGCATGAGTGCCATGCTTCTAATAATGATCAGAGATCCCAAAATTCCCTCAAAGTGTCCTTTGGCAGCACATTGAACATACACACTCATCTCTCAGTGGCAGAACCTGATGTTTCCCAAAAATTCTTGTTAGCCACAGAAACCTTACTCCCAGATTATTCCCACAGCTGTCTGATGGGTGTGGAGGTGGTCAAGGTGTATTTTGTTACAGAAATATGTCTCTAGCTCAACCGTTGAGTGAAACTCCTTCGCAGCAAAACCACATGATGCACAGACTGAGTAGGAATAGAAAAGCCTTGAGCCAGTGGTTCGCACTATTATTGATTTCAGGCAAGCAGTGCATGCCCACAAGATTTCAACCACAAAAAATATGTATAAGCATCAGACACCAAGAACCAGAAACAGAAACAGCAATAAACTAGAATAATTATTGTGGAGCAATAGTAGAGATGTATTAATACTTAAGGAAGTAAAAAAATAAAGTTAAGTAAAAAATAATATGAGTAAATTCTGGAATTTTCTTTCACCCTCAAAGGCCTTGTCAAAAATGTGACACAATTTAATTCTGCTTCCACAACTAATGTCAGCCACGTGTATAAGTCAGATTCACTGGAGAGAGTCACCCACACTTTCAGTTCCAGATTTGTCCTTTAAACTGGACAAACTGGTGCACTGGTTTTTTAACCCCAGTTCCTGTGACTCATGTTGGAGGGTGTGTAACTTCATTTTTCTATGTAATTTAATTTTTCCTTTTTTAATAATGAAATTCACTGTCTTTCAGTAGTGTAGAGAAAGGCTTAGACACTCAGAATATAAATCAAAATGTGTGGTCAGGGAGAAGAAAGGGTTAGAGAGAGGGACAGAGGGGAAATTAAAAAAAAGAAAGAGGGAAGGAGGGAGGGAGGGAGGGAGGGAG